TAGGGAAAGTCGTTTGGGAACTGTTTCTAGGACCGACGAGAAGGAGTAGAACAAAGACGATGAAGAACAAAAAAAAAAAATGGACGGAGGAGACCTCGGTGTGTAGATAAGATATTTTAGAACTTTATATGTAAATAGAAGAGCTTTGAGACCTTAATATGTAAAAACCCCTAATCTTTTTTATGTTATATTTAAAAATTGAGTGCTATGTATATGAATATGAAAATTTAGATGAAAATATAGGAATCCATACGTATTGCGTGGTATGCATGTAAATGCCCCCATAAAACAATGCTAAATATTTATTCACTATTAGGTCTGCAATATAATCGGCCTGAGTAATGATTGAATTTGACTTGATCGAAACATAACTTGTTTTTAGTCGAGCTTACACATACATGTTCATATTTTGCTTGCTTAAGATTTTTAATGTTCACAATTAATTTATATTTTACTTTATTTATATTATTTACGACAAATTAAAAATTAAAATAAATATTTAATTTTGTATATAAAATTAAAAATTAATTTTATTTGACGTGACTATAATACTCATAAATAAGTTATTAATTTGAACGAGTATAAAATCATAATGAAATAATTTCATAAATTTAAATAAATAATTAATTAAATAAATTTTAAATCAACATCCAATTATATCAAATAAATAAAAAAATATATAAGTTAAAGTATATTTTTTTTCTAATCAATCAATATAAATAAGTCATAATTAGTCCAATTTTATTTAAATAAAATAATATATAAATTAAAATATTTAATAAATCACTAATTCAACCATTAATGCATTTGTTCATGCACATTAATAAACAAATTAATTTTTAATTAAATTCAGATAATTTTTGTGCTTCAAAATATAATTAAATTATTTATTTATTAATCTAAATAAATATGATTCAGTATTAATTGAGCCCCCATTTGAGCTGTTCACCAAGTACATTAGTTCACTTACAGCCCTATTTACCGTTATCAAATTATTCGAAACAAATAAATAATAAAAATTAATTTTATTCAGATAATAGGCGACCGAAATAAATCCCGAAACGGATGCGGGCCGGATCCCAACATTTTCCAGACCCGAGGTCGAACCAACTCTGCTCAGCCAGCTCCACAAGAACCGGTTCACGTCACCGACTACAAGACCCCACTAGACACCCAGCGACCCACCTCTCTTCGACTGCCAACCAATCAAATTAACCCACGTAACACACGCAGCGCCTTCTCCATGTCGGTTTCAGAAGGGAAGCCGAGGCAGAGGTTGGGTGCGGCACCCAGCGAGCGGCAGGGCAGTCCTGTAGAAATAATTAGAACATTAAAAGCCCCAGAAAGTGCCACTAGTTTATAGACGGCGAGCCCATTCATCTCCCCCACCAGATATTTCTCCGTTTTAATTTCTTCGTTTTAAGGGCTTCGATCTTCCACTTTCTAGCTTCTGCGGTTGAAGTACCCTTCTTCTTCCTCTTTCTACATGAATATCTCCGGCGGGATCTGAATGCTGCTATGACATGAGTAATTCGGCGAAGTAGGCTTTCCAGCTGTGTATAACATGAATAATCTGGGGGAGGTGGAGGTTGAAGAGGAAGAAGAAGAGTTCTACGAGTCTCTTGATCGTGTTCTTTCGTCTTCGTGTTCCTCTACCTCTGCTTCAGATGACGACGGCGAGTATGGCCAGCACCAGAGCCATCGTCGCCGATCTCGCTTCCGGCCGGCTCCGGCGGTATCCTTTGACCTCTGGCTTTCAGAACCGGGGACAGTGGAGGAGCGACGTCGCCGCTTGCTGAATCAGATGGGGCTTGCCGGTGACCATTCTCTTGCGCGGGTGAAGCTTGATGCTGAGGGAGTTGGGTTTGGAACCTGTCATGTTAGGGAGGGGGAGATGGGGAGATCCGTCTCGTGCAATGGCCTCTTTACTCGGCAAGACGCGAGCAGTGTTACCTCCTCTGTCGGAGCTTTCTCCCGCTCCAGATCCGATGGCTCTGTTGAACATGGAGTTGTAAATTGTCAGCAGCCGCCGGCCGCTGGTAAGCCCCCTCTTGTCATCAGATCGCGGCCGTCCGTGGGGGGAGGCGTCAAGGTTTACCTTGGCAATGACATTGCAGGATTTGGCGAAGAAGAGGATGGGAAGGGGTGCACGATCAAGGACCTGGACAATGGAAACGAGTTCGTGTTGAGAGATTTCCGAGAGGACGGGTTGTGGAATAAAGTAAGGGAAGTAGGAACGGGGAAGCAATTCACGATGGAAGAGTTCGATGCATGCGTTGGAAGTTCTCCCATCGTGCAGGAGCTGATGCGGAGGCAGAGCGTGGAGGAGGGAGGGAATGGTAAAGGCTCGTCGGGCGGCCCGTCTAAGGACAGCGTTGGATCCAGCGAGGGTGGTAGTTCGAAGAGGAGGTCCAGCTGGCTTAGGAGTTTAAAGAACGTTGTGAATACGGGGAGCCAGCGGGATCGTCGCAGCAGCGACGAGAAGGATACTTCGTCCGAAAAAGGTGGGAGGAGGTCTAGTTCGGCTACCGATGACAGTCAGGACATGCCCCGGTTGCTTCACCACGGCCTTGAGCGGATGAAGGTCCGGCAGTATGGGAAGTCACAAAAAGAGCTTACTGGTTTGTACTTGAGCCAGGAGATTCAGGCTCATAGTGGATCCATCTGGACTATAAAATTTAGCTTGGACGGTCGTTACCTGGCTAGTGCTGGGGAGGACTGCGTCATCCATGCTTGGCAGGTGTTGGAGCATGAGAGAAGGCCGGATATGTTGATGGATGGGACAGGGGAGGAAATTCTTCGGGGAAATCCTTTCCCAGCGGCCACTAGTAATGGCTCGCCAATAGGTATACTTTCAGGGCATGGTACGGAGGGGAGTTCTTCTGAGAAAATGCGAAGGGCGAAGGATGTTGGTGGTAGGAAGTCTTTGAGCTCAGGGAATTTGAAGTTGCCTGAACAGGTATTTGCCCTCTCGGAGAGGCCGGTTTGCTCATTCATTGGTCACCTTGATGACGTGCTTGATCTCTCCTGGTCCAAATCTCAGGTAATTTATACACTTGTGAACTGTCTCCATTGTCTATTACCAGTACGTATAGAAAGAAAATAGCATATTGATTCATGACTTCCACGGATGTTATTACAACTTTCAACTTGGAAAGCAAGCCAAATGGTAGTGAACATTATGTTGGATGGAAGAAATAACTTTTTTTTCCTCATTTTATGTCTTTGGCTCATAGAATCAGGAACTTTATTTCGTTAAAAAAAAAAACATATTGAAAGTATGCTAGGAGTTTTACGGTTTTGCTGCCTTAACTTGCTACTTGTTAGCAAACTAAAATTTATAAAAAAAAATAAAATCATGAAAGGGTTTTACTTTGTTGCATCATTTACGGACCATTGGATCAATTGAAAGTGGTTTCAGCTTATGCTGATGAACAGCCCAAAAATTAGTAAGTTTAAAGAAACTAAACGTGGGTTTTTCTGGTGTGCTTTTATCTTGGGAATAATGCTGTGGTTGTGCCATTGGTCTTTAGAGTAAGATCTCTCTTTTCACTAAATGTGTGCTTGGCTTGCTTGAAAATGGGTGTAAAGTAAAAGGAATGTAGGATTTTAAAAATTTGCTATTTAGTTTGGATGAATTACATAATGTAAATTTTTGAAATTCACCCAATTTGGCCGAATTTTAAATACACTGTATGAGTGAAGGTTTGTCTACCACCACTGTCGCTGGCCACTTCACACTGCCAACCACTCGTCTTTGGCCAGCTAGTTGCCTGCCACTGACTATAGCCGATGTCACCGCCAACCACCATCATCAAGCATTTCACTGAATTCAATTTACTTAAACCAATAACAATAAAGTGATATCCTACATTTGCTTTATGCTCAAACAAACAACTCCGAACATTTTGAATGCACTGCATTTATTTGTTACTATATTCTTTTTTTACTATGCATTCTTTTTTCAACAAAACAAAGAACCCTCAAGTAGGTGTGTGCTCTCACTTTCCTCTAAAGATGGAGAAGCCTTTATCCCATTAGATCTTTCAGACATTGATTTCTAGCTCATTTGCATGGGACATTTCCTGTCAAAGTATAACAATCCCTGTGGTTGCACATTGTAAATGATGTTGTAGCTGTTTGCAGCAGAAAAACCTAGTGGGAGTAGGATTATTCAAATAAAAGAAGAGCAGCATATCCAATATGCAATTTTTTTTACCAAACATACACTAGAATGTCTTTAACATTGATCTGGGGTTCTTAGACAATGTATGAGGGGTGGAACAAGGGTTGGGTGCGTAGTAGGTCGGAGAGAACCCTACGGACAAACAATGGGATTTTGGAAGGGAAGAATGGGATTCTGCTGTTGTCCATGGAGCAAATAACAGGAAAACAGCAAGATGAACAAGTCTGTCATTGGACCATCCCTATGCGAGACGTAATCCCTCATCTGCCTGGGACACTCCCACGCCAGTCTTAATTTTTTCAAGACATTGAACTGATCCCTCTGCAGGACGCTCCCGCACCAATCAAAATTATAATTAGTGTGTTGATATTTGAAGTTGATCACTTCATTAAATTTTACTACATTTTCTTTTTTTGGTGTGTGAATAAATTTATTATTTCATATGAGTTTTAAATAATGAAGATGGAGGATCATTAAATTGAATTTCAACTGTTTGTCTAGACATCTTGACTTTTTTTTTAGTTAGATTTCATAGGATTTATTTAATGCCTTTTCAATTGTAACTAGAAAGATTAATTTCAATCTAAATTTCTGTTGCATGTCATTTCTGATTTGAACGTGTCTTTACAGTATTTACTCTCATCTTCCATGGACAAGACGGTCAGGCTTTGGCACTTGTCTGGCAACTCTTGCTTGAAAGTATTCTCACACAGTGACTATGGTATATTATAATACTTTTTTTTTCTTTTGTATATGATTCTTTTAATCATTTTGCTTTGTTATTTTGATTGTTATGGAATATTCCAACGCAGTGACATGCATCCAGTTCAATCCTATTGATGATAGATTCTTCATTAGTGGTTCTCTTGATTCAAAAGTCCGCTTATGGAGTATCCCGCATAGACAAATTGTTGATTGGAATGATTTACATGAAATGGTCACTGCTGCTTGCTATACACCTGATGGACAGGTTCTACAGCTAAGCTGATATACACATTGCAATGTTCTGAATTTTGAGAAAAGTTTTTCTTCTATTTACAAGAGATCTATCGGCATAATATCTTTATTCCCAGGATTTCCCTAATTGTTTTTTTTTTTCTTTTTTTGTGTGTGCTACCTTCTTCAGGGTGCCTTAGTCGGTTCACATAAAGGCAATTGCCATTTATATGACACATCTGGTACGGATAAATTGATTGTTTTGCACACCATACCTCTCCCCTTTCACCTCTAGAATTTCCAATCTCCTTTCCCGTGAAATTGTTCACTACCCACCCCCCTCTTCATTGCTTCTTCCAGATTAAACTTAACTTTTCATACTGCTTACTTTCTTCTAATTTGCCTAACCGTATTTTTTTGTTCATTTTGGTAGATAATAAGCTGCTGCAGAAAAGTCAAATTTATCTGCAGAACAAGAAAAAGAAGTCCAGTCATAAAAAAATTACTGGTTTCCAGGTATAGATGCTGTTATAATTATACTGATGCAGTCCTCGTACAATACTTTGACATACATGTTAATGATGTTTTCAGACTATACATAGGAAAGTATCATAAACATAAAATCACCAGTTTTGGCGCTTGAAGATGTTTCAAGATCTAACTAGATGAAATGAACTCAAAACTTTCTCACGTCTTAGAGAATTCAGCAGACAGTTTAATTAAGTATTATGATTCTTTTTGGGCTTTTTATATGATTTATATGAATTGTAGATCTAGCATTTGGAATACTAACATTAGGAAGTATAACTAAAAACAACTATTAAATTACTTCGTAGCTAATAGATAAAAACCCAGAAACTAGGAGATCTGAAATGCAGAACCATAGCCCTAAAGGCATAGTGGCCCAAAGGTGTGATACCGACAAATGGGAGTTACTGAATTCAACAAAAACAGGGGAAAGAATTGGGAAGAACTATGAAAAACATTAAGAGCAAGATAATGGCTAAGCACCACCTGGGCGCCAATCCAAAAAACCGCTGTATGGAAAGGTTTGGATGGACCGAAACCTATCAAGAGAAAACAAACACAAGGCTTAAAATCTTTCTACCCAACCCACACAAAACTTCCCGTATTTATAAAGGCTTAACTCTCTTATTAACAAGTATGTCATCTATAACAAAAAGACACAAATAACAAACTAAAACACAAATCAAGACATAAACTAAAATAAAATTCTAGTTCTTGTGTCTTTCTTTTGGGTTTGGCAAGGCTCCCTCATATCAAGCAACCTTAGAATCTAATTCTTAATGAGCAGCCAACTCGTAGGCATTGAAAGTGATGGATTCGCTCTAATCCTTAAGCAGGTTAAGTTAGTGATCTAAAACATCTTCTAACATTGTCACTGTTGAAACTGGATTAAGAGATTTCAAGCTCCAATTCTGAAGCATATCAATCCACTTGACGTTAATTTGTTGAGAACCATGATTAATAAGTACAGTTCTTGCTATAAGATATTCACCTTGTCTTATATCAGTGTAGGAATGCAGTGATTGGGCTTTCAAGCTTGATTGTTTTTTAAGCAATAATGTGTGATCTATATGATGTATATCAGCTGATGCTGATGGTTAAGACAAATAGAATCAACATGTCGTCTAGTTTGATCACTCCACATATCCCTTCCAACATGTGAATCTTCACCATCAACTCTTCTAACAATTGCATATTTAGAATTTTTCAGTCTAGAAAATTGGTTTCCCTTCCGAGATATTTATGATTAGAGACCGAAAAATAGTTATCGTCTACACGTACACGAGCATCAACGATGATTTCAATATTAAATATTCAAACCCATCGAAACTTGAGTCTTCTTGATGAAATGAATTTTCATCTCCTTCCTCAAGAATTTCATATTCTTTATTTGTCCAATCTTTTTGGTGGAATGGGTCTTCAATTTCTTCCTCCACCGCCTCGACATTGTGTGCCACTGAGCGTTCCTCCTTTCTTTTCTGCTCCAAGCTTACAAGTCTCTTTGCACACATTGCATTTTCATGTAAAAGATCCTTAATGGACACTTCTTGATTGGCTCTTGACATGTTCTTGCATTGAAGCATGATGTTTCATTGGAAAGTTGTAGAGGAAAGTAAGGAGAGGATGAAGAAGCAGCCGAGAGGAAGAATATAGGAAAAACGTATCCGTGAGAATAAAGAAGACAAACAACTACCTTCTAAAACTATAAATCAGCAAAGAAGAAACAAAAGATAAAAGACTTATTTATCTTTGGAGTAGGCGAGTGGAAGAATTGTAGAGAGCAGAAAGATTGTAGGAAGGAGACAATCTTGAACCGCAATAAAAAAGAAAACCAAATGGGAGGATAGTCTCTGATACCAAAATGGAACAGGTGAATGAACTGGGAAGAATAGTGAATAAGATGAAGAACAAAATAATGACTAAACTCCGCCTAAGCGCCAAGTTTGGATGGACTGAAACCTCCCAAGAGAAAACAAACACAAGTCTAAAGTCCTCTCAACCCAACCCATATAAAACAACCCCTATTTATAAAGGCTAGACTCTCCTAATTACAAGTATGCCATCCTAAAACATAGAGACACAAATAAGAAACTAAAACACAAACCAAGACGTATAGATTGAAATAAAACTCTACACTCATGTCAAGGTGAATCACATGTTTTTGATGCCATTGCTTCACTTAGATTCTTGTGGCAATGCTTATGTCTACCAATCGTTCGTCTAAACTTAAGATAACTAAATAAACAAAAAGTGAACAAATATGATTTTAAATATAAGATAATAGTGTGAAAGATAAACAAAATATTAATTTCCTATATGTGATGCCACTTATTGCAAAATAATTTTTTTTCCTAACTTCACATTATGATAAGAACTTCATATTCATCGAAAGAATATTTACATTCAAGAAGGTAATTGTTTCAATTCCGTATAGTATCGTGAAAGCGAAGCAAATCAATCTAGTATAAGTGATTCCAATTAGTGCCAAATATATTTTTTGTTAAACTCGACATTTTGGTAAGAAATTTACATCTATTTAAAAAGTACCTTGCCATGGAGTATACTTTCATTGCGCTGCTAATATTTAGTTATTAATGTTACACGAACACAGACGCAGACACAAACATGAGGATACAGACATGATACAGAAACGAGACACGTCTATCATTGAAAATATAGGACACAAACACATGTTTGATATGCTATGGTGCGTGAATACTTTGTTTATTTATTAAGGGAGTGAATATCTAATTTAATGTCTGATGAACTACCGATCCTCATCTGAGTTAAAATTAAAGTTAAAAAAAAGCTTCAACTTGATTATCCATTGATGATTTGAGTGAAAATTAAAATTTGATATCTATTACCTTGTAAACATTCTCCATATCTGAACTATAAAACTGACAAATAGATACAATTGTCTTTTGAATATCATGCAGTCTTGATTTCAATATAATTGAGCATCTCTGTTGGAGTTGCAATAATGACACATATACATTGTCCAAGAATAGTAATACTCATGCAAGAACTCAACCCACTTGGCAGTTTATAGCTATAATTTATTTCATTAATTTATATATTATAGGATATGATGATTATTATGTTAAACAAATTCCTACAAAGAATGGCGCAAATAGTAGAATGCTTGCATAATGGCATAAATTTATGACATGTATTTTTTTTATTCAGTGTTATGTAACTTGTCAAATCGGATTTCGATGATCTTAACTTTTGTTCCCAATCATGCCCAAAACTGACACAACATAAGTTATATAAAAGATTATGGAAAAATCGTAAGGGGAAAATAACAGCATTAGATTACCCTCTATGTTTTCTAGAAAGTTAATTTGTGTAACCCACTTACGCCTTTTAAACTATTGATTTTAACTGGGTGCTTATTAGTCTAGTTTGTTTGTTGTCATGTATTGGGTTCAATTCTCATTTATACAAAAAGAACTCATATCATGTGGACTTTGGGGTTAGCAAAAAAAAATCTCATTTATATGGCAATTCATAGGCAATTTATAAAAGTCATCATGGTTCTATAATTCCTATCAATTCTAGCGGGCTCTTAAAAATGGTTTTCTTAGTTGTAATACAAGTACAAAAACTTGAGATGCTTTTATATACTACAACTTACTACATTTCTTATAATGTGAACACTTAAGGTTTATTTAGATTTGGGAATGGAGACTTTCTATGGGTGTAAACCCTCGTATCTATTTTTTTCTCCATATTGTGAGAACTAGCTTGATTAAAAAGATTGCGCGACTTTTAATTTCAATGCATTTGCTCTATGATAATGGTGTTATCAAATATTTATCTAGTGCTTCTGTTGTGGGTGTGCGGATTGACATTAAATAATTTCATAATCCAGGGTGTATGGGGCAAACACAAGTCTGGAGAGTACAAGAGCCATGCTTTTTACAAACTATATTTAAGTTAGGGAGCTATATCCTGTTACTGCAAGCACTAGGTCTGAAAAAATTTTGTGACTTGGGATCTTCTCAGTCATTGAACCTTAGCTATGATTGTTGGGGCACCCTGTGAATAACCATGGATCACTTTGTTCAAAGCAATTTCTTAAACAATTGGTTAAGTGTAGTAGGAGTGATTATATTCTATAATCAACCTTCATGGTTGAAGATGAGCATCCGTTTGTTGAGATTAACATATTTTAATATAGTTGATTCCCATAAGGCATAGTTAATACAGGTTTCATAACACTTCCTCCATGGTGTGAAAACTGAGATAAATTTATATCACCATTTAGTGTGGAACACAAATCATTCTACATGCTACCCCTTTGGCTGAAAGCCAGAGCAGATTATATGGTACACTTATAATTGACGCTAAAGCAGAACATATTACCTCTTATAATCTCAACCAAAATAGATGAAGTATCAACCCCTTTAGTTGGATGGCATTTTTTATTTTATGTTATCCTGGTGGTTGAGACCTTTTTTTTATGTCTTAGCATCTTCTTTACCGAAGTAAAGACATTCTTTGTGCCTAGTGTTGATGCTTTAGTGCTTGACACAATCAAGAGGAACTCACAAAGCCCTTGGTTACATGACACATTTATTGAGGCAAGTTGTTTTCTCCAGGAGATCAACATCATTGTGCAAACTTCCTAAAATTTCCTTTCTATCTAGAAAGGTGAACTCTTTCCGAGCACTTAATTTGTAAGTGAATAGGCATGCTTTGTGTGGAAAATCATGCCTACCTTGTGTTTTTCATCTTTTATTTTCTTCAATATTTCTGTGTTAAGGCCATTTTAATTAAATTTAATTTTCCCTCGACCACATCATGAACAATTTTAAAACCTTGTAAATTCATTAATGGTCATAAATGCACTTCTTCAATTTGATGATTGTTTATATTTGCCATCAACATGGTGAATAATAAGATGCTAATAAAAGTACAAAGCTTATGAATGATTAGCCATGCTGAGCGACTAACCTGACTCTAAAATTTGAGTTATTGGG